GTGGTGTCCCTCAAGGTTCGATTTTAGGCCCACTATTGTTTATTCTATACATTAATGACCTTCCTAATGCCTCTGAATTATCAGACCCTCTACTTTTCGCTGATGACACCAGTATCTTTTATTCTCACTCAAATCTAAATTGCTTAGAATCCATACTTAATGATGAACTCCAAAACATTGACGTTTGGCTAAAATGTAACAAGCTTTCAGTTAATGTAAAGAAAACCAACTATATAATTTTTAAACCCAGACAGAAGAAATTTAACTCCAGCATTTCTCTCTCCTTTGGAGGTAAACCCCTACAACAAGCTAATGTAACTAAATTCCTTGGGGTCTATATTGACAATCATCTCACCTGGAAATACCATATCAGCTATGTATGTAAACAAATCGCTAAATCAATAGGTATTATATTTAGGTCTCGCTTTTCCCTATCCTCTGCAACCAAGCTCACTTTGTATTACACCTTAGTTTATCCTTATATCGTCTATTGTAACTCCGTCTGGTCGTCCACATACGTATCTAACTTAAATAGAATTTATTATTTGCAAAAGCGAGCTGTGCGGGCTATCACCAACTCAGACTATCGAGACCACTCTGCCCCTTTATTCTCCAAACTAGGAATTTTAGATATTTTCCAAGTCAATACGTTTGAAATCGCTAAATTTATGTTTTATTTCAAAAATAACTTATTGCCCCCATTGCTTCTCGATCTTTTTGTAAGGAATAGCCAAATTCACAACTATGGTACCAGAACAGCCAGTAATTATCGAACGCATTTGTGCCGTACAAATGTCAAGCAGTTTACAATTCTCTACCAAGGTCCTAAACTTTGGAACTCTCTCCCTATTTCAGTCACTCGTTCGTCAAACTTTCTTAGCTTTAAAGCGAAATTGCAAGAGTTTTTACTTAAATAATCACTGAATTGGCCAAGCCGCACATTCGCAGCACTTTTTCTTTACTTAATTTATTATTCTAAGTGAGGTGGCTCTCCCATAAGCCTGCTGGCTTCTTGGGTCTCCTCGCCTTCTAATTGTTATCGCTGTAATTAACTATTTTTTAATTGTTAAAATAAGGCAAATAAAGATGATGATGATGATGAACTCCATCTCTATGTATACACTCGCGTTGCGTATCTTTACTTACATAAAAGTTGCATCCTGCTCCCTCATAAGGACAAGAGACCAACGTCATTGTACATTCATCTCTAACGTGGGACTCCACCTATAAAAAAAGATCACAAATTTATTGTTGTTGTTGTTTTTTCACGATCAAGATTTTAGCCCTTAGGAATTCTGGGACTGTTGCTTGTCTTGTGATTCTGATAGAAATAATGTACAGTAACCACTGTAACGGTTCAAATGTAACATATCTACACAGAAGCCAAACTAATAACAGAGAAGAAAGATTGTACTAACTTAAGCTGCACTTAAGACATATTTCCTTTACGTCTTGATAAACATTAATACTTTTTTAGTAATAAACACTTGCATTGTGAAAAGCGATTCTACCTCCTCTCGAGGTATCCTGTGTACTCCACATTCTTGAGGACAATCGAGAGGCCAACGTAGGCATTCGTCTTCGTGACTCTGTAGATTTCAGGAGAAATACACCTTCAAAGCCATGTAGGATCGATTCGATAGTCTATCTGTGTTGCAAGGCAGCTCTCTTTGACACACTTGCCATTTAATTCTACTTCCACTAAAAGTGATCGTTAAGTAACCTTAAAATATGACATAGTAGCTCAGAAAAAAAATGAAAATTAGCACGCCAAACATTTGTGTCCTCAGCTTTAGGAAGCTTTAGCTCCAGGATCTCTTTATTCTCTTCTTAGTTGTATGACTTTCATGAAATGAAAGTTGACAAAATAGGTTCGAAAATGAACTTGGTCATTTAATATAATACTTGTGATAGAAGAAGCTAAATGTTCCTCGAAACATTTATTATAACATTGTCTGATGGGTCTCTGAAAGCTAGTTCCGATCGAGTGCAGTGCGTAAACTCCGTATTCCATTCAATAATGCATTCCTTTATTTGCCATTAACCAATCAGGAGCGAAATATTCTGAAAATAGGCAGTTCACAGGTGTAAAAATTCTGTTAGTTCTCTTCGGTTTGACAAAAGGTTAATTCTACCGACGATACAGCCTCACCCTTTTGAGCCTAAAGGCAAACTCCATTTCGCAGTTTTCACATCGCACAATCCTGTTGAGACAGTCTGAAGTTCGGTGGGTGTTTAGAGACCATCTTTGCAACTCGACGTCACAATCATCACAAAAAACGTCTTCATATTCACACAGCTTAGAGTGATCCTGTATGTGAGTGGAGAAAACAGCAATTACTTTTCTCTCCGCCATAATGGATACACTTTATGTTGTAGCATCTAATCAGAAACGACATTTTAAGATACCTCTAAATTGATCTCTGTGATAAACTAAGGTTTTGTGTTGTCGAAGAACCCTCCTTGCGACTCTTCATCACATTAAAGGTCCGAAAAGATATAAGCTCTTTAAAATTCCCGCGAACCAAACAAGTATGCTTTAATTCCTCTGAGTTTCCTGATATAATGAATAAGTATTTTTCTTCAGTTGGATATGATTTAGCCTCTAAAATTCCAAATCCATCAAAACAATTTACTGAATATCTTCCAAAGTTTAATTCCTCTGGTTCGTTCTTCTTAAATCCTGTGTCTCCTTCTGAAATTGAACTTGAAATAATGACTATTCCTCAAAATAAAGCTCATGGATTATATTCTCTACCTATTCGCATTTTAAGATCTGCTAAACATGTCATTAGTCAATCTTTGTCTATAATTATAAATAAATCACTCGAATGTGGAACTTATCCATCTAAACTAAAACTTGCTAAAGTTATTCCAATATACAAAAATTATGATGAATCTGAACCTTCTAATATAGACCTCTCTTCTGTCTGTTTTTAATCGTATTTTCGAAAAAATGATGTATCATCGTCTCAAATGCTTTCTTGAGAAACGTAATATACTTAGTGATTCACAATATGGTTGTTCTGTTCTCTTGCCGTATCTTAAATATATTAATGTAGTTGTAATTTGTCTAGAATTTTGAATCTCTTGCTCTGTGAATCTGACCCTTCTAATATAGACCTCTCTTCTGTCTGTTTTTAATCGTATTTTCGAAGAAATGAGGTATCATCGTCTCAAATGCTTTCTTGAGAAACGTAATACACTTAATGATTCACAATATGCTTCTTCTGTTCTCTTGCCGTATCTTAAATGTATTAATGTAGTTGTAATTTGTCTAGAATTTTGAATCTCTTGCTCTGTAAATCTTTATTTTATGATATACGTATAAAACTACCCACCTCGACTAGCCTTTGCTAACTGCGGGCAGTGCATATTCTTTGTAAGATTGTAGTAATAATAATAATAATAATAATAATAATAATAATAATAATAATTATAATAATAAAACTTGTGTAAAACTTATGTAATTAGAAATAATATATCCGCCATTGAACGGCGGAGTCTTGATCCAGGGTGTGAAATGTTTTTGTATTCTGTACATTTTTGAGTTTGAATAAATCGTTCATTAAAGGAGGTAATAGACCAATTCATAATGTGGATTTAGCCTCTCATTCCGTATCAATAAACAATACTTCTTGCTACGACGAGATGAGATCCGAGATAAGACAGAAGAAGCTAACAGAGGTTTCGTATGGTATAAAACTTTCCGCAATCAAACAGTGGATCACCTCGTAGTGACGGAGCATTCCGTCCCAATCACATCCTCTCGCACTCTTCTTGCATTTGACTCGTAGAGAAAGTATGTCCCTCTCCCACGCCACGTCAGGAAAATACTGTGGAACACGTAAGATAAATGAAAGACACAGATAGCTTTGGCATGTTTCATCATTATGGGTGTATTTAACGCTTGAAGTGTCAATTAAATGGATGCAGTGAGTCAAATATGTTAATTTCGGCGACAGAACTAAAAGGGGGCCTTGACTTAACATGAAGTGGAAGATCCAAGTCGTCGCCTTCGCAGGATCGATACTGCTGCGAAAATTGAATTTTTCAGATTTTTCATGTAAACTACCTGTTAATATCTCCTGCTTCCGGCTTGTTTTATTAAAAACGATTTGGTGAATTAACCACTGCCTTCTAAGGCCTCTCTTTCAATTCCACTCTCCGTTACATGTATCTCGAAGTAAGTCTCGTTAGACTTTTATAGAACTAGAGATAGCGGGTTCGTAGTGGTTCTAAACATTCGTGACATAGGTCGTCATTTCTGACGAAGAAAGGTGGCCAATAACTAAGTGCAGCGAAACGCTACGTTTCCAGCATCAAATTCACTCACCCCTCCATTCTCAGGAATAGAAATCCTATCTTGTGGACAAACTTTGCCAACTCCTTGCCTGAAAGGCGAAAATACAAAGCGAGAGTTATATTTGTGCAAATATTCAGCCTCCGAATATTCTCAGCTTTCGTTTATGTCAGCGTGTATATATACTCTTGTATTCAACACAGTCGCTTCAAATGAAATTGAACGGTGCTCTGATACCTGAATGTTCCCAGTAGACAGCTTTTGCAAAAGCGATGACCACAAACCGTCTGTACGGGGTTGCACATTGCCGTAAGACAAATCGAGCATCTTTGGCCTGGAGACAACTTGTCTACAAACTCAAAATCATGGCCACCCAATTCAGGTTCATAGTCTTTGGTTTCCGAATCTTCGCGTTCAGAGTCTTCAGGTTCAGAGTCATCGGCTGCAAAGAGTTCTCCGAGCGGCAGAAGTTGCTCTTCCATCATTAAACGGAAGACGGAACTGTAAAATGAAAGTTCTTTCACCTCACCCAACAGGGGCTTGCCCCCGTTTCATTACTATGATTGGTGGCGCTTTTATTGACTGTCACTCATGTTGAGGACCGAAATGGAAAGCGAAAGTGCTAGCTTTGGCCGCACCCAGACTAATGGGGCTTGCCTCCGTTTCATTTCTATGATTGGCGGTGCATTAAGTGACTGTCACTCAAGTTGAAGACGGAAATGAAAAGTGATCTTGCTCTTAAATCAGAAAAGGCCTGTTTCCGTTTCATTATTATCATTGGCTGACCTTTACTTACTCTCATGGCACTCTTCTGTCTGCGGATGAGGACCCGTGGTTTCGATATTAGTCTTTCCGATCTTAGTTTGCAAATACACAACATTGAGCCTAAGATGGGGTCTAAGATGGTCGACTCATTCTTCGATAAAATTGTTGTAGGAAGCTTGAGTGAAGACGAGGAAGAAACACAAGACAGTCGTGCCATTAGAGATGACGATCAAAGCGACAGTGGCTATGAATACCTATTTGTGGAATTGTCCTTTTAAACAAGAAGTTCTCCGATGTCTATACTAAGTAAGATCTTACTATTATACCTGTTGTTGGAGATTCTTCTAAACCAACTCTTGGTTCCCTAGTTGTGACTCTCCCAGGAGTAATTAAGTAACTAGCATCATTGAAACCAAACAAAGCAAGCGGGCCTGATGAGATCCCCCCCCCCGGTTCCTGAAAGAATATGCTCACGAGATTGGCCCTATTTTAACAGCTATTTACCAAGCCCGGCTCTATCGATTCTGGTATTGTACCAACTAGGTGGAAATATGCACATGTGTGCGGAGTTTTTAAGAGTGGTGAGAAGTCAGATCCTTGCAATTACAGACCCATATCACTAACTTGTATTGCATCTAAAGTCCTGGAGCATATTGTTTACAGCCACGTCATGAAACATCTTGATTCCCACCAGATACTTACTGATGTAAGTATCAAAACTGGATCCGCCATGTTGGCGGTAAGACGTGTTCCGAGCCTGTCCGTAATTTTATTAAGTTTTTCGCTGTTAGCTTTGTTCTCTGTCAACTTATACTCTCTCAAGCTCTCGAAGAATGCTCAAGTGTATTACGGGGATAAATTCTTCAAGTATTTCAACTCATACCCGGTCGATTTCAATCTAATTTCGCCAAGGCATATGTCAAGGATCGGCGGCCATTTTGTCACCTCACCTCACAAGAAGTTTCAGAAGTCAAGAGTGGCGTACTATTCAAACTGTACGGCTTCCTTCAACCCGGTTGCTCTTTCTGTGGTTAGAAGTGGAGACATTCATCCTCATCCAGGACCTCACAGACAATGTAACTCAAGAAACCCTGGTCCACCATTGGGAAAGAATACTCTTAAAATATCTTCCTTTAACGCAAGAAGTATCGTCAATA